ATTCATGAACAGCTTTCATTTGATACCCATATTGAACAAATACACCCGAGGTTACCCAGATCCACGTGTTGGTCTATATCTCGAGACCCAAATTATTTTTTAAAAATTTTCTTTGGTACAAACCTCACGGAGCCCGAGCCCTTTCCAACGAATGTTATAAGATTACCAAGGAAATGTAACTTCTTTTTATATATATAGATAACAATAAGCGAGCATACACATCAACATGCTTATTTAACTGCGCATATATAAAGCTGGCAGGTTGTGAGTAAGTAGTAAGCCCCTGTCCATAATGCTTTATTACAAATAACTACAGTGAAAATATACTTGATTTATGTACATAAATATGTAAGTACGCATTTCATGTTGAATAACAAAGCATTCAGCCAGATAGCCAGCATTTATGCGTAGACGCCCTTGTTATTGTGGGATTTACCCATGCTTTGGCGCTATTTAAGTCATCATAAACAAAAATTTGACATAATTTTATTAATGTTTAATTTCGATCATTATTTCAAATCACGTCATTGCAAGCGATGGCATACATATGTACATACATGTGAAGGAATAAAAGCAAAAAAAAAAGAAAGAATTGTGTACAGCAACACTGGCAGACGGTATCGAACCCAATTCCATTACATAGTACAAGCAACAACTCTTCCTTTCACAATTCATAATTCAATGAACGTCGGCTATGGGTTGGGGACAGACAGACAGACAGCAAACGCTACGGGCGACTGATATCGAACGACAGGTGTTGGTGGAAATGTTGAAGCAGCTGCTGGCCTAGGTGGCAGCGGAAAGTGCGGTGGGCTCGCCACTGCTGCAACAACACTGTGCATCCCACGACACACAGAGAGCTGGCTGGTGCAAGGCACGATCCAGAAAATAAAGGTCGCGCCATTCGCGGACCGCTAACCCTCTCATCGTCGATTTGACAGCATCCACCCAATCGCTGACGTCATAAAATACTTTTGTTTACATTCACTGTTGCCAACTTAATGCTTTTCGCACCAAATTTAGTGGGTATTCAAAACCCGAACATTTTTGAGTTTGGTGCTTGGTGCGTTTTTGGTGCTTTTGTTTTTAGTTTGAAAACACCAAATTATAAAATCTTAAAAAAATGGAAGCAAAATTTATAGCAATCATAAGCTTGGTAAGCAACTTCTCAAAAATTTTAATAAAATCATGGCACAATCATAAGCGACAACAAAATATGTGGCAGCAACTTCAATCAAGCCAGAAAAAATCGACCGTCGTGCAAGAAACATTGATTTTTATTAATTTGAATCGGCATCCTTACAATATAATTATGTATGCATATAAAGTCCATAAAATACACCAATAAATATTTGGTGCTTTTTCAAATTGAAAACTTGGCAATACTGCCTTTTGTTCGCTTCCTCTTTTTCTTGTCGAGTTCGTCTTGCTCTCTCATTCTGGTATTTATTGACGTCACGGCCAGTTACTCTCAGCTCGATTGGCGCAATCTTGTATTCTATCATTCTTGGGTGCAAGGGGTGTACGCGTGTGGGGTGTATGAGTTGGAGTGCTGTGGTGGACAGTAGCCTAAAAAAAAACAAGTAAGAGCAGCGCTGTCTTCGGCTATGCCGAAGGCTTCATACCTTTCATGAACATCTGCAAATTTTA